TAAAACACACGGATTTAACATGGATTAAACTCCTCAAAACTCTTTTAATCCACTGTACAACACGCCATGCCTACAACAACCCGAGATCCTTTTCGAACTTATAGTATATCATGTATACTATCACGAAATGTCTCAAGAGTACTAACAACTAAACACTACAGTGGCCAATTTCCCCTCTTAATAAAGCATCCTTTTGCTATCATTTGAAATTGTAATTTAAGCACAAGCCGAAGCAATTAATCGCAGTATATCGTCCATTGACAGAGAAAATTGACAAGACATTTGTCGAGCGAACTCGATGTTGGTAAATCTCCCCATTAGTTAAAAGAAAAAAAATAATAAATAAATAAAACACAGATATTTTATTTCAATTTTAATATTCCAGTTTTTCGCATATAATCATGCGACAGGCGTTCTCTCAACAGTGGTTCGTTCATCTTATTAGTAAAAGTTACCCGCTCATGCATGGGTATACATAGGACAGGACAATTAATACAGCAAGCTGTATGTGTCTATTCCAGTGCGCCCACTTGTCATTTCGAAGCTCCTTTGTGTTGGAGTACTGGAGTGTTTTGGTCAAATTTCTGAAGGGATCAACTACCATGCCTTCTGACATTTGAAATGTCTAGTTCTACGAATAAATTTTCTACCTTTATTTTCTATCTTTATTTCAGAGCTGTTCTGAGATATTGTTTACGACCGGGTACTGTTCTCGTTGCGATTGATTAAAACCATTTGCACAGTTCTGCGATGAAACAACGGGGCATATCATAAAAATAGAAGCACTTTTTGCTCCATTCAACAAAATTTGCGAAATGCTCGCTGAGATCTTCAAATTGTAAACGCGGGTTATTCCTTTAAGATTAAAAATATGATTCAGAAGAAACACGATCGAAAATGTTTTCTATTTGACAATTGCCATTGTAATGACTTATGCATGACTTCTGAGAGATTTTGAAATTACCCAGAAACAGTGACATGCTACTGTTAAGTTTATTATTGCAGTGAACTTGATCGCACTATCTTACCACCGATATGACTCCGAGATCTTCTGAGCTCCGTGGTGTCTTTCGGTAATTTAGTTTTGCGCTGAATACTTTTTCCTCCTGGGGCATTTCCAATCTGAACTGTTACAATTAGTTGGTTGCGCTGTTGTGTGAATATCTGGTCGCTTGCTACCCTCGATGGAGCTGACAAGGGTCTTTCCTTCACTGCCTCATTCCGCCTCTTCCGAAAGTTGTCTAAACACATCATAGCACCGAGAGATTCTGACCTTAATAATCTCTTTGCTCGTTTTGAAGCTTTTTAACATCTAGCGATGCCACAGAATAGCGACGTTGCTTAACATGGCGCGCAGTGCTAGCTGCTGGTTTCTATCTGCACCTTAACAGGTCCCATGTAGCTTTCCTTAAGCGGCGATTTCTATACCAGTACAATAGTGGATTAAGCAAAGAGTTTAACTGAAATATTGTTTCTGCCCATCGTATTGTGGAAACCTGACGGAAACGAGGCAAAACGTCCCGAAAGAGATGAATAACGAGGCTTGGAAAACCCGACACTGCAAGGAAAACCGCCAGTTAGAAAGTCGTGTAAGCGAACTTGCTTTCAAGCTTCCCTTTAACCAGAACATTTACTGGGCGGATTCGCGTTCGGTTCCATTCTCGTACTGCGAAATAAACCTTGACGTAAAAGTATGCTATCAGCGATAAGCAGACAAACCAGAAAATGCTCAAAATGATGTCTACGACTAATATAAGTTCATACGGAACGCTAGCAGCTCCCATTATAACTACTGGAACAACTATTAGTAATGCCAACAGCCATGCAACTCTCCTGCACTCGTTTAGACGGCCTCTTGTAACAATAGCCTTGCACTCCATCCATTTTGCTATCGCCACATACCTCTCCCAAGCAATTAGGATTAAATGAAAAAAAGACGCCCGGCAACCAATATGCGGTACAGAGACACTTATTAAGTCTATCATACGTATAATATCCACAACTAAAACTCTCTTGATAACCAACGTGTCTAACGTGATAGACAGTGGCATAGATACAACACCCACCAAAAGATCAGTTAAGGCCACACCAGAGAGCAGGATGTTTGAATTCTTCTCCAATTCTCTTCTCGTCTTCACTGCTATTATCACCAAGAGGTTTAACAGAATGATAACGAGACAAGCAATGGTCGTGATGGCAACTATGATCTTAAAAGAAGTTGTGTGATGTAAGTCCCAGATGTATTCTGGTGAATTCGGGCAATAAAATTCGTTGGAGGAATTGGCGAGTGATTCTGTATTCTTCATTGTCATGGTCGATGCGCTTCGTTAAAATGGATGATTGCAGGGAATTAGTTTCTTGACTGCTCGGTTCTGGTTTGGTTCTGTGTTACTGTCTTCCTGTCAAAACTCCGCCGGTCTTGACACTTGCTCGACCGAGTAGAAAATACGGTCGCTTGTAGCTTAATGTTGTTTTCAATCTACATGTCGAGTGTGACAACTGGAGTGACGTCAGAGATACTCCCTTTCTAGAAACGTGGCGATGATTATCTTGTCAGTTTGTAAGACGCTGAGTTTTTTGTTCAAAGTTTATAGTGTATATTGAGTTTCTCAGTAGTTAATTCGCCTGGCTTAGCCTTTTTTATCTCTATATAATGGCTGCAGCTGATGGTTCTTTCTGAAATCAGTTTATTTCCAACGCTTAAGTTCTCTTTCAGAAACATGTGCACCAAAAAGGTTTTATGTGAGACAATTCTCAACAATGGCATTTGATTGCAAAGAAAACAATAAATTTAAGATAAGCAATTCGTAGTCTGGATGTCAGAGACTTGACCAATTTCGATTTTCTTTGCGTTTTCCTCACCTTTGCAGCACTCTTCGCGTTTCTCTACGTTTGTTTGTGTAATCATCCAGTTAATTCGTAAATTCAGCATTACATAATGAAACTCCTGTAAAATGGTAAATATATACAGTGAAGTATATATAGCCTCATTTGCAGAAAAAGAAATTAGAATATCAGTTAAATTTCCCTTCTCTTTTGCCCTATTCAGGTTGACTCAATCACTTTTCCCTTCTGACATTTTTCAAATTATATGCGAAAAATAATCAGAAAATCATTTAATAGCTATGTCATTTAAAAAAAGAATTAGCCAAAATTTATTTTTATTTTTAGCTTAATTTTCCTGCTGTCAGAATCCACATATTTGAAATGAGATTTCCAAGTGAAGTGGCCAATTTTTTTACTAGAAAAAAAAAAAAAATCCTGTTCCTCACTTTTTAAATTCTAACTTGAGCAAAAACCTCGGAAGCAATTAACTGCAGTATATCTTGCATTGCACAGAGAAAATTGACAGGAAATTTATCGAGGGAACTCAGCATTGTCTCAAAATGGTGGTAAATTTCCCCATCAGTTGAAGAGAAAAAATAGATATATTTACCCTCATACTTCAATATTTTAGGTTTTCATTTCGCAGATAATCATGCGATTGGTGTGCTCTCACCAGTGGTTCGTTCAAATTAGTAGTAAAAGGTACCCCCTCATACATGGGCATATATACATACATAACTTCACGTCCCGAAATGACACAATAAACAGAGAAAACTGTACATGTGTTTATTCCAATGTGCCCACCTGTCATTTTGAATTTCACTGAGTTGGGCTACTCGAGTGTTTTGATGCAATCTCTGTTAGCAACAGCTACTGACATTTAAAGCAATCAGTTTAACGAAGTAATTTTATATCATTATTTCAGTCTAACATTACAACCTGAAATCGGTTTGTCATGTTTCCCTAGGCGAGCGTTCGTGAAGCGATTAGCTGAATACCGATTAACGAGCGGTACAGTGATATTAGTTGCAACAAGGTACAGTAGTAGATGTGATTGGTTAAAAATATATTAACAATCCCTGCGGTGAAACAACAGATCATAGCGGAGCGCCGGTGGCCCGAAGAGCCTCGTAGCGGAGCACCATAATCATAGGAACAGCGGAGCCATAGAAATATGCAGACATTGAAATAGAAAACCATGCATCTTTTTTCATGGTCACTACGGCTAGCAACATGGATCACGGATGCCTGCGCCTTACGACGATGCTTACAACGACGCCGACGACGACGACGCCGACGACGACGACGACGCCGACGCCGACGACGCCGACGACGCCGACGACGACGTAATGCAACATGGCGGCCACCATTTTGTTAACAACTGCGCACTGCCAGGCTACTCACTATCTACAACAGTCAGTAGCATAGCCAATAGGAGAATCGCATTCCTGATAGAACGCTTGATTTGTACTAAACGTCTATTGCGTGTAACTGTAGATCATTGTTCACGGTTGCAGGCTATGTTTCCCAATTTAACCACTGTTTTGACCTCGCAGACAGTGGATAGCAAAAGGGAAATTATGTAACTGTCGCCGCCAAACTGAGCGTAAGTCAAATCGTGAATGATTTTACCTATACCCTCGACAGGTAATGCTATAAAAATATATACAGCACTAAAGATAATTATCAGGATATCAAGATATACACTATAAGATATAATTAAGTCATCCGTCCATAAAAGAGAGGTATAACCAGCACTTAAATGCTAGAAAAAGAGCTGCTTGAACTTACTGACATTGTCTGTTTCGACAACATTGTTTGGTAAGAAATTCCAGTCATCAACGTATTTATTCCAAAATGAATACTTTAAAATATTTGTTCGTGGGTAGGGTTTGTAAATTTTATATCTGTTGGAGTATCTTGTACGGCTATTGGAAAACTTAAAATGATCTTCTAATTTAACATTACAGAAACCCTTGATGTACTTGAAAATTTGAACAAGGCTTAAATAATTACAACGAATATAGGGTAAATAAATTAAAACACGCTTACCCTTTTGATTTTGTTCTCAGATTTTTAATGGGAAAAACTGAAAACTGATTCAACCACCTGACAGTAATTGCGGGGGGTTTCATAAAGCTGTGAATCTTTTACTCTTCTTTATTAGACACAAATTCAAGCCCTGATGCTTTTTCTTTCTTTCCTCTTACATATCCGGTCAGTACGTTTCATTTCGGCATATACCATTTTTTCATTTAGTAATTATATTCCTGACAATATTCTTTCATTATGATGGTGTTTTTTGAACAATATCTGTTGAAACAAGTGGCGAAGTGACTACTTTTCTAGAAGTTTCGTTTTCTCCGGAAATCTTTTAGCACGACGAACCAAGAAAGCCTTTATCATTTGCCTCCACACAGAAATTTCAGACTGGAATTCTTGACCAAATGGAATACGTTCCACATATCGTAGTTTAGGGAGTAAGCGCATTTTGATCTGACTATAGCGCCATCTTAGATTTGGAAAACAAGTCCAGGGGTTTGGGGAGGATAAAGTGCCCTGGGAAGTAGGAGTGAGGCTGTATGACAAGTGACCGAAGTGGGGAAAGGAAATTCTTCTTCTACTCTCTTCTTCTTCGTCGTGACATAATGATAACCGACGAGTATGGCCCTGATATCTAAAGTAGTAAGTTATATGATTTCAGTCCCAGATGTATTGTGGAAATTTCAGCCAATAAACTATACTGACTTGGTAGTAGATTTTTTCTTGTCTAAGCATACGCCAAAGCCATGGGCGCTTCTTTTTAGCATTGCGTGGGGTCAATTGAGAGAAAATTCTTTTAATTTTTATATGGGAATCAGATATCTTTTCTGTGTTTCGCCCACATACACGGAAAAATATTGCTGATTTTAAGCGTTATTCTTGGAAAATACAGTTTCAAAAATCAGTTCCTATTGTCGCGTTTGGCCGTCTTATTCGATGGATTTTGCTTGTCATTTTACATCCGAAAAATAAGGTCGTAGTGCATTGCTTTCACAACGACAGTTTCTTAAAAACTCAAAGATTTTCTTTTACTTCTTTGATTTCTTTACAAAGGGCATTTTTAGCCAAGGCGTATTTCCTCCTTCAACTTTAGTCACATTTTAAATCTGGACATCTGGGTACGAAAGAACAAATCAGTGAGCAGGAGTGAAAGTGGAGGTAAATCTTTTGTTTTTTTTGTGTTTTGTGTTTTTTGTTTTGTT